AATATTATACAAACTAACAGGGCATAATTGTTTGTGTGTCTTTTTATTCAGTTTTTAGGATATATAAATGTTTTTCAGCTTTTTGAACATATTTAAAATTTACCATATTTTGTTTTTATCTTGTTTTCAGTATATAGACTAATGAATTACTTATGTATGTTCTGAGGAACCTTTATGTTGCCCACAGGTGGTCGTTCGGGTAGACGTGCTCTGCTTAGTAAACTGAATCCTGCTTTCTGTGTTTGGCTGTGACTCACAGACCTCGGTGCAGCGACTCATTGCTGGCTTGTGCTCTGGCTGTAGACTGGCAAAGCGAGTGATGGAAAACATAATTTGTTGTGACCAGTCTCACAGCAGTAATGATGACAAATCCCACACAAAGGGATCTATATCTGACAGCTGTAATCAGCACTTGAAAAATGAATCACTTAGAATTCAGCTGCACTGAAGTACTTTGATTTTTAATCAAAATAAATGATGTTTAGACTTTGTTGAGTCATTTTTTATAAGCATTATTATTTAGAATTTAAATAAATGTTCCAGGTTTTCCCACAGAGCAGGTGATGGAGGTATTTGTGTTTACATGGCCCAGGTTTTGCCAGAGTCCTAACTATCGCAGCCTGGCTGGTTGGCTTTTGGCTGCCCCTTGCTTTGTCAGCAGTAGTTTCATAATCAGCTTCCAAACCCCACTCCACTTAAGCAACATGCAGCGTTAATGCCACAGCTGTAGCACGTAGGTTATTGGCTCATATCTGGATCTGCTTGTTTCTTTCTTTTTTCCCCAGGGTACAGCTGGACCAGATCCAACCACAGTTTATGTGGACATGAGAGCACTACGGCACGATAGGTGGGAACACTGTGACAGTATGCATTCATATACATGCATTTAAAACATGACCCGACTTTGAACTAATTAGTACTCAAAGTTTTTTTCTTTCCTTTATTTACGTGTCATATTTACAAAAACAGTGGATATGACGTTGCTCACTTTGTCTTTTCAGGGTTCGCCTGGTTGAGAGAGGGTCACCGCACAGCCTGCCACTGATGGAGTCTGGAAAGGTACGGCCTAATTTAAAACTAAGAACTGAAACACAGCAACATAGTGTGTAACGCTGCTGCTTCCAGGGCTTTTTTTGTTAATTTGAGTCCTGGCTGTCTGCTGCTGTAGATCCTCCCTGGAGTAAAAGTCATCATTGCAAACACGGAGACTAAAGGACCCTTGGGAGACTCCCATCTAGGAGAGGTGAGTTGGTTTTTAAGAGAGCAGAGCTGTCAGTCAGTCAGTCACTCTTTTGTGTGCTTAAAGGGAACCTGTCGTGCTTGTTTCCATCTCCAGATTTGGATTTGGATGATTCACAGTTTAAAAGAATCGATATTTATCTTATACTAGACCTTGTTGAAGTCCCTCAGTCCATCCACTCTCTAAGGCAACCTCTAGACAATAAGAAAAACCACTTATTATTCAGTCCCCTTTAAAGCAGGTTACAGTCGCTTTCTGCAATAACCTAAAAACATCTTAGAGTTAAGGTGTTTTGTTTTTTTGTTTTTAGCAGCAGAATTCATTCAGCACAGTAGAAGCAAATGTCTATTTACATATCAGTGCTGCTTTTTAAAACATCTTGCTGAAATTTGTGTAAAAGCTACACAAAGTGACCTTTTAGGCTGAACAGCAGTTCAATGTTAATGTGATTAATTTACTTGGCTCTTGGTTTTTTTGGAACAAGTTTGCAGGGTTCTTTCAGCTTCTCCCTTATTTGAAGAGGTCACCACAACAAATAGATCTGTATGTTGATTTGGCACCGATTTTATACTTGATACCCTTTAATGGGATCAGCATGAGGAATACGCAGCTTGTGACTCATCATATTGGGTTTGTAGCGCTTCAGAACTTTGACCAGAAGAAAGAGCAAAGTGTGTGCTTCTGAATGTAACAGTCACCAATTGTAACTAATATGTGTATCAGATCTGGGTGAGCAGTCCCCACAATGCCACAGGATACTACACAGTTTATGGGGAGGAGGCGCTGCATGCTGACCACTTCAACACCAAGCTGAGCTTCGGGGACACTCAGACAGTCTGGGCAAGGACCGGCTACCTGGGCTTCCTGCGGCGCACTGAGCTGACCGATGCCAGTGGAGGTGAGTGACCAATGCTTAGTCTAACTTAAAGTCTGCAATCTTTCCACGGAAAGCTAATTTAAGTATTTTCTAGTATCAAAACGTAAACTGAACAGTCTGACTGTGGGTGTTTGTGTGTCTCAGAGCGTCACGATGCCCTCTATGTGGTGGGCTCTCTTGATGAGACTCTGGAGCTGAGGGGGATGAGGTATCACCCAATTGACATCGAGACCTCTGTTATCCGTTCTCACAAGAGCATAGCTGAATGGTGAGAAACCTACAACACCTTTAGTCGCTAGTTGTCAATATGACAACAGAGATTTATTTACTTGATCAATTTTAAAAATGACGAAGAAATATGAATTCTACATGACTTCTCTGTATTTACTTTCATCCGCCATCCTCCTCCTCCTCTCTCCAGTGCGGTGTTCACATGGACCAACCTGCTCGTGGTGGTTGTAGAACTGGAGGGATCTGAGCAGGAGGCCCTCGACCTGGTGGCCCTGGTCACCAATGTGGTCCTGGAGGAGCACTACCTCATCGTAGGGGTGGTGGTGGTGGTAGACCCCGGCGTCATCCCCATCAACTCCAGAGGGGAGAAACAACGCATGCACCTCAGAGATGGATTCCTGGCTGACCAGCTGGATCCAATATATGTGGCTTACAACATGTGAGGAGCTAATTGTGGCAGGGTTGACCCCCACTACCCTATGTGGCTTTATGACACTACAGGAGACAGCAGGACAAGCATCTACAGGGGCTTGTAGCAGTTGCAGGCTCGATCTCTGGATGGCTTCGGTTGTGCAAAAGCGATCTGCCCGCTTTTTTTTTTTTTCTACTCGTGCAGGAAAAATGTGAAAGAAACATGGATGCAAAACTTGGACACAAACCTCAAGCCTGTTTCTCTCAATTTCTGGTCTCAGCAAATAACTTTTTAAAGGGCATTCTTGTGTTATTGAAGTGAGTTTTGTATGTATGACAAAACCTCATCTAAACCCAGGACACCTGAGAGCGGCAGAGCAGGTGGTTACGGTATGATACAGCGGTGTGCCATTGACATAATTTATTTTGTCAATCTCAAAAATGTTGAATGTTAACTGTGTTTGCCAAACACTTGTGCCATAGAAGAGAACTGATGCCAGTACCCAAACCCTGACTCGAATGACCTCCGACACGTTTCATGTTCAGCCTCCTGCACCATTACTGGTCCAATGCTTTTCACGGGATTTGCCGCTACACCTGTAGGAGCAGCTGCACCCTGAAATGAACCCCAGATTTTTATTCTGCAGCTCAGTACAGATCAAGTTATCGCAACAATAAAGAAGCACACAGCAGCGGCGTCCGAGGAGAAGGAGGAGCAGTTCGTGTTATTTTCTTTTTCGCTCATTTGTGCTTTAGTTTGTAGTGCCAGTAGCTTCCACATAATGCTGTGGTAACTCAGTCTCATCGTTTTCTAATTCTGAAATGTGTAACAGAGTTTTATGTGAACAAAAATGCAATATGAGTGATGTGAAAGATGAATGACTGCATACAGTAAGTGCCGATCAGTCGAAGAATAACGTGCTAAACGATAAAAGCCTTAAGTATTTTTTTCAGACGTCTGTTCCAGGCCCAGCTGGAGTTTATCAGCTGTTGGATATGGGGGGGGGTAAATATGCAGATGGAGGTTAGAAATAGCAAATTTCGCTCTTATCGTACCCAAAGGTTTGCATCTTTTTGGCTAAGATAAATATACTTGATCCTAACATCAGCCATTACAAACACACACTCATTCATTCCATAAATATTTTAATGTGCGTCCCTGTCAGCTGTGTCGAGTGTGTGTTTTATAGCAAAAGACTGGAAGAAGTGGGTGTGGCTTTTGTTGCAGAATGTCAGACTCATTTTGAGTGACTGAAAGTTGTTGGGTTACATTTGTCATTAAGGCAAGTGTCTAATATGCTCATAACACCCTGACCTCCCATCGTATCATGTCAACTTTCTTGCTTCTTTTTTCTATGTGCACAACCCTTCAGAAACAGGCATCAGCCTGCTGTAAGTATGTACAGATTTTGTGTAAATTATTGATTGAAGGATTAGACAACAGGAAGCAGAACACAAAGACTAAATCTGGTATATATGTGAACTTCTCCCTTACAAACAGAAGGTTATTTGCAAAGGATTTTCATGTGGAAACACTGGAAGGAGACGTGAAAAGCCTTGTAGACATTTTTATGGTATGAAACAACAGCAGGATGAGGTGAAGTACACGCCAAGCACAAACAGAACACAGTTATGCTCTGGTGACGGCGGAGATGTCACAGCCTTTACAGCAAAACGTTGTTAACATATGGAAAGATGCATTTGTCTGATATATGGTTAGTTGTCATTATTTTCATAACATGATTTCATAATGAATAAAAAAAGTTCTTTTAACTTGAAGCCTTTCTCTTCATTGGTTACTGAACGTCTGATCAGTTGTTCATAAAAAGTAAACCAGGTTTTAGGAGTGATGTTAAACAGTGAAGCACTTGTTACTGTTTCTAACAGATCTGTCCAATACATAAAGGAACCTATTAGGCTTTTCCTTATTTTATCATAGTGTTACAGTGTTGGATAAAATAAATATGGCTAAGGTTTTCCACAGTGAGTGGCTTGTCTGTTATTGATCAGATCTTTGGTCTGTGACTCTCTAGATGCATTTTCTTTTATATCACATTGACATTTAAGGGTAAATATTGTTTCTAACCATCCACATGCATGTCCAGAGACATGACCAGACTTGGAAACCCTTAAAGAGGGAGAATTTGGTCTGTTTAACTAATCAGACAAAAAAGTCCCAATTACATGGGAGGAGAAATGATTAAAGACATCATTTAAGGTCCTCTTCAGATCTTTCTGCTAGCAAATATTTAAAAAAAAAAAAGGAAAACAAAACAAAAATTCCCCAATTGCAATGTGGATTTAAGTTTAAAGATTTTAAGTTTTTCAGAAGACAAAACTGGATACAAGTAAAAATCAGTATGCGGTAGTTATACTGTCTCTCAGCAAATAGTCATAACTTTAAAACACCAAAACTGCATATTTGCATTTACATTACAAGCATACAGTGAGTATATTGATCCAAGGCAGGTTTTTAACAAACAGTAAGAAATTCACTGAGTGACTGTTTTGATCTCAGAGAGTAGTCAACAGTGTCAACAAGACTTACAAAGAACATCTGATGTTTTCATTTTCATAACACAGAATATATCGATATCACCAATAAGCAGCTTTAAATGACAAGAATCCAAAATAAAGTAATTTAGTACTTACAATTTTCTTCAGTGTGTTTACATATACATGCACACCATAACATAATAATAAGTACTGAGTATGAGAAGTGAGACAAATAAGTAAAATAAAAGTTTTCTTTTTTCTTTCTGATGTTAAATAATATTTCAGTTTTACACTTTACATTACATTACTTTTAACATGTAGAAAACCAGTTACACTGACCAATACCTTGTTTTAAATCCTTAATTCACATATGCTTCTATTTTATTAAGGAGCTCAGATGCCTTGTTCAGTGCCAGCATTTCATTCTCTGATCTGAATTGTCCGTTTGGTATGTGAGGATATGGATGGCAGTTGGGATATTGAGTCCTTTTAGGATCCACCCCGAGTGTCTGCAGGTTTTTCACAATCTCAGGCAGATCTCTCAGTTGGAGGCTGTAGCGGGAAACTTGTGCAGCAGTGGCTGAAATTGAGCTGCTGTTGGGGCGTTGTCCATTTCTTTTATAGCATGCTGCTATAAGAGACTTTTCCACTGCTTGATGGACCTTAAACAGACACCACTCTGTGCTCCCTCCACCAGTGTCTTTGTGAGCTGCATTGAGATCGCAGCGAGCCTGTCTACACCAGCGCCTGGCCTCTTCTCTGTCTGGCCTTGGGACATTTTCATTGTGGGTCCAGAAGTTGTAGGAATGGAAACCTCTATAGCCTCTAGAGAACCTCTCTCGACTATTTCTGTGATACCTGGCCTCCTGATTCCACTGTTGATAGAAGCCTCTGAAATTTGTATTTCTGCTTGAAAAGGTCGATCCTGCAGCTTTGACTGTGCCTTTGCTAAGCTCATCAATTTGATTCTGTAAATATTTGAATGCCTCATTGGCGAGAGACTGGCAATCCGGATTTTTGTCAGGGTGCCACCTGAGGTACAGCCTCTTGATGGCTTTGTGCCTCTCCTCCTCAGGAAGCCTCCAGATCTCTGTCAAACATTTATCAATTTCCCTTTTAGCTTCCTCAACAGAGGCTGGTAAAGAATTTGTTGACGATTCAGAAGAATGTGGCACAGCTCCTGTCAGTGGTTCCAGCTCCATGCAAGTGTTTTCTTCTGGTTTTAGCGTCTTCTTCTGTGGTCCTGGCTCCATGCATTTCCTCCTTTCTGTTTTTACCTTCTTTTCTCGTTTAAACTGAAACAGATCGACACAGCTGACTTCAGTGGGCTCATCTTCTCCTACTTCTATTTTGTATCTCCATGAATATCGTCCATTGTGACCAGGCAGTTCTTCAACAATAACTGCATAAATGTACTTGTCATCAATGCTGTAGCCAACATATTCCCCCTCTTCAAAGTTGTTGAGGACATTCATGTCCAAACAATCATGCCATTCTTCTGGAACCTCTGTCCCAGGGGCTGCTGGACCAAAAGAGGAACTTTCAGTTTCAGCACTGTCACGGATCTGATGTTTAGCCAGAGTTTTCCGAACATCTTGCAGATCGTCACACATGAGGAGTTGTCCCAGCACTGGAAGGTGAACCGATGCAATTCTGTTTCCTAAAAGAGCATTAATCTCTTTTGTCAGTGTCATGATGACTTCATTTATCACTTTGAGAGCCATGTCATCATTGTGCTTTAAGTAAAAGGTACACCCTTGTTGCTCTCGTTTCACAAAAACATCTGTTTCTTCATCAGTTTTGGGAAGGGGCTGTTTATTGAGCCAGAGAGCTGTTTCCAAAGTTTTGCAGCAGATAATCTGTATACTGCCAAAAGTCTTCTCACACATTTTAGTGGCATCTTCTTGTATTATTTTGCCTTGAGAATTATCTCTAATAAGACAAATGAATCCATATTTAAAGGTTCCCGAGGAGAGATGTTTAGCAAACCATCCGCTAAATTCACAGCCAGTCCCAAGTTCACAACGCTGCATCTTTGATTCCACAACTCTTTCCTCTGTGAACTCAGACAGCATCTTTGGCTGAAATTTCTGAGGCAGCAGTTGCAACAGCTGATGATGCTTGTATTTGTCGTTGCCCAAATGACATTCACTGAGTTTCTCAAGCAGCAGGAACTTGTTCTCCAGTGCTTCTTCCAACCTTTTGGTCTCAAACACTGTGTCGTTGTAGCAGAGTGTGGATGATGGGTATAATTTACCATCTACTGCAGGAAGATACAGAGTCTCAACATTTTCAAGAAGCGTCTGGTTTCCCTGAGCACTGATTAACTTAAACAACTGCTCAACAGCTCGTTTCACAGTTCTCAGCTGGTTTGAATGTAGTTTTTGTTTATCACAGGAATCAGCGTAAACTGCTGCCAAAACATTACAATATTGCTCTGCAGTAGCTTTCTTCTTCACACCAATTTTCTGAAAGAACGGTGCATACATTGCATCTTCTGGAGTAATCTTGTACAGATATGGTCTGAAGTCACGATCATAGGAGAGCGACAGACACACGTCATCAACCGTCACAAGTTTTGTGTCTTTTTCAACCAACACAACAGGAAGACCAGCCAGCTGGTTTCCTTCAAATCTTTTTGCTTGCAGGTAAGCGTAGGAACTTCTGAACACTTTAGCTCGTGTTTTGATCAGCTGGTCAGTTTCACATGGTGACTGACAGATGTTTCTTATGTTACTGGCAACACAGTTTGGAGGTGGTTCTTCATGAGCTCCAACATTTTTTATCATTTTCTGAAGACCTTGTGACATAAATGGTAGGTCTATAATTGGGAGGTCTATAATTGGCATGGAGGTCCAAATCAAATCTTGATGCTCTGGATTTTTCTCAATCAACGAGCCTCTAATTTTAACAGTAGTTCCTTCAGGAGCAAATGGTTGGTGGTAGTTGGACAGTTCTTTTCGAATCATAACTGGAAAAATGAATTTGATGTCAGCAATGCTTTCCAGCAACCTTTCCTTGTTGTCTTTGGGATCACATGCTTTATTTAAGGCTTCCCTGAAAAGTAATGATGATTTTAGTTTCATGTCTTTGAGTCTTCTGTTAACTTTTGCTTCTGATTCCAGCTGGTATGCAAAATGTATTATCTCGTCCGCTGACACAACATGCTTCATTCCAAGTTTTCTGACCAGCTCTTTTGCTTTTTCTGTTGTGTAGTCATCTCCTTCACACAGTTCAGTCCAAAATCTCTCAGGTACAAATCTCTCGTGGGGCAACATCCGTTTGTACAGCTCCACTCTCTCATCAAAGTAGTATGATGCAGGCTCCAGTCTACCTTGAGAACTGCGAATCAGTTTCACTGTCTTCAGTGAGGAGATGATAGTTTCCCTTTCCTTCAAAGGGTAACGTAGTGACAGCAACAGTTTGAGGCTGTGAAGAATCTGTGACTCTGTGAGTTGGTGCACAACAGGTAGAATGAACTTCATGAAATACTCCAAATCATCCAGGACCTGAATGTTGAGTGTTTGTGACAGTGTGTAGTTCTCAGAGTTGTGTTTCAGAAAAATGCTGCTGTTTGTAGGTAGGTTGAACAAATCTGGAAATATGACTGAATATTTGATTTTGAGGATGAAAACCTTCTTAGGTCCATCAATCCTCACTCGTTCACCTTGTGTTGTTTCAAATATTGGTAAGGATTTAAGTTTCCTCACATACTCTTTGCTGACTTTGGACTTGGATAATCCTGATTGCAGGAACATCTGAAACTCTTTCATATCATCATTTGAAAGCTGGGAAAACTCTGAGCGATTAATGTTGTACACTTGATCCAACACTGAGCTTTCATCATCTACATCAAGAAGTTCATCTTGTAGACATGAATATATCCATCGATCCATCTCAGAGAAGAAAACATGATCAAACCTCATAAAACCAAGTTTGAAGAGGATGCCTGATATGTCTTTGTGTTTTCTGTGAGGCAAACACAACACTTGACATGTGTTTCATTGTTTGCAGGAAGTGCTTGTTGTTCAACCTTGGACACACAACAGGTAAAATATAGCAGTTGCTGAAGAGTTTCCTTACATCACTGAGTGTAAGACTGGACTCGTCATCTCTAGATGTTGGTAGTTTAATTTCACTCATTATGAACTTCCAAAGTAATTTTAGCCACTTCAATATTTTCTCATTGGGGACATGAAAACCACTGTGTGGATCAATGTCACAGTCATAAAGAAGATGCTGAATTAATGTTTTCAGATATTTCTCTGAGCAGGGCAATGTCATATTTCTGACAAGTTTTAATCTTTGAAGAAGCTCAATGTGCCAAATGTTGATCTTATAATTTGAAAATTCATCCTTGTAGTCAAAGAAAAGATTTGCATACCTCGATATCCACTTTGGTGTTTGGGAGCTGAACATTTTCAAAACATTATCTTTCGTGAGAAGAAGTGGAAGGCCTTCGAGCAAACTGGCATTGTCCTGGGTGACCTTTTCTGAGGAGAAATTTTTTAAACAAAAACTCAAGAGCTCGGAACATCTTTTCTCATCTTTGATCAAAGTGGCGCTTATGGGTAAAGGCAAATCCTCATCTGTTTGGGTTGGATCATTTAGAGGTTTTGCTCGTAGGAAAGTCTGCACAGTGGAGGGACTGACCTCTTTCACTTCAACCCCAGCAGATCTGAAACTTTTCCAAATCCTCTGCATGTTTGTGGAATAAGGAACCAGCTTCATTCCAAGATCTTCCAAAATGTTATTCAGCTTGAAATTTCCCAAGGTTGTCAAGTAAGGTGCCTCAGTTGAGTCTGTTTCACTGACATTACACCAGTCAAAAGAGTGCTGTTTAATTTCTCTATATGTAGTTATACGTGTTATGGTCGTCATAACAGGGATTACATCAAGGCCTTTTTCTTTCAATGATCTGTATACTTCATGTATCATTTCATGCCAGTCTGGGTAAACATCTTTGGACACAGTTGGCCAAAAACACAAATATTCTGTATTGAAACATGAGTTAGTATTTTCTATTAAAGTAAGTTTTCTTACTTTCGAGAAAACTTTCTTGACTGCAATGCTGCGCCTGATGTAATGCAGGAGATCTGCATAAAGCGGAGCAATGACGTGCTGTTTCAAAATCTCATTCCAGCCTGATTTCTTACTCTTCCCATCTTCTTTCCAAAGGCTTGTCCTGGCAGAATCAACCTCAAAGTTTCCATTGACATGTACTGGCAGTCCAGTTTTCCCTGGCAAAGGAAGTGAACAAAAGGCTTCTCCTTTAAAATCCATGATGCTGGATCCCTTTGTGTTCACACGTGCAGCTAATGATGCTTGGGGAATTTTGTCTGATAGTTTTAATTCAAAGCTGTCTTTGAAGGAGCCAAACTGTTCTGCAACAATCCACTTACTTTGTCTTTTATCTGAGGTGGAAATCACAGTTTCATAGAAAGTCTTGTGCGGTGTTACTGTTTTGTCTGATTGCAGTGCATTTTGTAGATGTTTTACAAAAGTATCTTTCTCGTCCCGACTTCTTTGTGGCAGATGTTTTTCAACCTCAAAGATGGTTTTAAGTCCTCCTGAATCTTCACTGATTTCATGGACTTTGATTTTGCAGATGTTTTTCAGAAAGAGAATTAGTCCTTCAGGATCTTCAGACAGAGCAGAGCACAGTTCTTTCATGTCACGGTCAGTGACTCCTTGCTGTGATATTTTGGAGGTGTTTGCATTTGTACCCATTCTCAGAGGTAATCTGAACATGGTGCCGTCTTTAAGAGAAAATTTGTCTGGAAGAAAGGATTTGTAGACATCTACGTACATTTCTTTGAAAGTGTCAGCTAGTTTATAGCCAATGCCATATCGCTGGTTATTTGAATGATTTTCAATGTATTTTTGATTGGGGTCAGAAATGCAAAGTACTTCATCTCCTGTAAGGATCGAAGGGCAGTCAGTCAGATGGTAAACAGAGTTGAATCCAACGCCGTACTTGCCTATCTTCCCTGGGGTTCTGTGCTTTCCTCCCTCTCCCAGCTGTTGAATTCCCTTAATGTCAGCATCAGAAAACACTTTGTTGTTGAACACACAAAGTGCTGGACCCTGGAGATTGTTCCATTTCTTCCCAAATGTTTTTTCTTTTCCATGTTGTCTTTTGTCCCAGATGAAGTGAATTTCTGTTGCTTCTGCATCATCAGCATTTTGAATAAGCTCTTTAAGGATGTCCTTCTTTGATGGATAGGCTGAAATTATGTTTTTAATACGAACAGTCAGCTGTTCCTGCTGTTCAAAGTCAAAAGCAAATGGTGACATGTCATCAACTATGTGGTTTTCCAGAGTATGATGCCTTGTTGTTTTGATTCCAAGGTGGCGAGCCATAGCTCGTGGGATATTCTCGTGACATAATGTGACACCTGAAGTGAGTGGCATCCATGGGCTGTCATTGTAAAATAGCTCACTAGCAAACTGCAAAACTCCATGCTCATTGGGTATCAAACAGTCATCTGTGATTTTGACTTTGGCCTCAAAATATCCCTTTGATTAAAATTGTGAGGCAAACTAAGAGATCACTCTCTGTTAGGGGCTTGTTTCCATGTTGAGCTTTTAATTCTTGCAACACAGTTAGAAACTGAATTTTTGTGAAATGTTTTTCAACACCTATACATGTCCAGAGGTTCCTGAAGCTTGTGAAGGCAGCTGGAAGTACGTGGAGATAGGGCTTTGCTTCAAATTGCCCGTTCTCAGCTACACGGTCGACATTCACAAATGTATCGCCAATGAGGATGAATGGAAATGAATTTGCTTGTTGTGAAATGTAAGAGGCATTTCCAGAGTCACAGATCCACTGATCCAGACACGTATAGCACTCAAATGCTATTTTGTAAAGCATGGATCTGTCAATGGAGTGTGCTTGTTTGCTTCCTTCATGCAGCTGCTGGAGCACCACCTCTGGCTTCGGAGTGCTGTTCACGCCCAAGATCTTTAGGACTGGATCACTGTGGTGTATTTTCAAATTACTATTATTCAGCACTGGTTGTGTCATGTTAACAAGAAGGGAGCATTTGTCACTAAAAACATCAGTGGGCCTTTTAAGTGTTACATTTCCTTCCATTTTTGCATCACCAGGTGAATATGCTGGAAGAAATGCAGTTGTCCTCAGTGTTTTCCAGTGGTGAGACTCTACATCATAAATGTGATTCTTCATCAGTTCAAAAAGGCACTTCAAGTGCACAAATGCTTTCTTTTTGTCAATGCTCCAGGTTTTATTAATTGTGCCTGCTTTCTCTGTGATGTCTTCCAATGGGAGATGGTCATTTGCCATACCGAGTTCCAACAAACGCTGAATCCTTTTTGGAGATCTGAAGTCATTTTCGGATCCATCAAGCAAGCGTCCCTCTTTTGGTTCAAAAAGACAGGCCACTTTCCCTGTAGGATTCACAAGTTTCCTGACATGTTGGAGCTGTCCACCCTTTGTGGGTATGCATGCATAGCAGAGCAGCAGATTGTCAATTTCTTTGATATGAAGGTCAATAGCATGCAGCACAAGGGTATCTCTACTCTTCGAGTCCATTGTAGTTAGGTTACTGAACACTGCTTCTCTGTAGAACTTCTCCCAGTTCCATGTCCTGTTTTGTAAAACCTTTTCTAGGCCAGCCTGTTTAAAGCTATTTCTCAGCCACAGTGGAAGAGGAACAACATGATTGGGTCCTTTTGCATATTTCTGACAAACTTGCACTGCAAGGTCACCAATCTTTTCATCATTTTCAATGCTCTCATGTAGAAATATGGCATTGTTCATTGAGAACCATTGTTCTCCATCACTAAAGAGCTCTGGACCAACAGAGTCATCAACAATGGTTGAGTAAAGTGCGTCCACTAAAGGCTTGAAAGTTTCAGTCACTTTCTCTCTATCAGGCCAAAAGGTGTGATAACAGTAACTCACCAGCTGTTTATTTTCTGACATTTTCTTTAGTGCCTTGAGTACAGTAACATATGCTGTCACTACTGGATCCTGAAGGAGAGCTTTGTTCCAGTCATTTTTCACTCCAGTTTCCCACAGACCTTTTCGGTTGCTTGTCACAGCAAATGTGCCATTTACATTGACAGGAAGACCCGTGTGAATGGGAAGAGGAAGGAAGCAAAAGGCCTGTCCAACAAGATCTGTTTGTAATGTGGTGAATTTTCCAGTTTCTGGATCATTTTGCAAGGGCACAGCAATCCCTCCAATGGGCAAAGAGAAACTGGCCTGCTTGTTTTTGTGAATGGCCATTTTAAAGGACTCATCTGTCCCAAAGCAGTTGTACAGGAGCCAGAACTGAATTTCATTTTCATTAGACTGCTGACTGGATATTTTCACAATGCTGAATTTATAGCAATTGATTAACTCTTTGCATTTACCATCAAGTTTCATCAGTGATTTCTCAGCATGACGTTGCTTGGACACACTGTTGTCATCAGGAATCTCCATTGCACTCACAGTGGTTTTGGACACAGAGAAGATGGTCTCTATTTCGTTTTCTGTTGGTGGAGTTGATCCATTGTGTGGGATATTTTGGAGGGATAATGTAATGATGTTCTTTAAAAAAAGCAGATGGGTTTGTGAATTCTTAGAAAAGAGATGTAGAAAATCAAGGATATTGGGTTTTTGATACACATTTGTGCTTATTTCTGATTTGACAACTTCTTCTTCACTTCGGAAAGGTAATTTGATCAGAGTGCCTGGATAGGGTTCAGGAGGACTTTTTCTGGTGAAATTACAGTCAAAAATGTTTTCATATGATCCAAACTGACCAGGAAAACAATGAAAGAGTCGCTGTTGAGAGAGATCCAGCTTGATTCCAGGATTTGATTTATGTTTGATATGCTTTGTGAGATGAGTAACATTTGGATCAAATATGAGGAGAGTGTTGCCACTAAGGATGGAGGGGACATCTGTCACATGATACACAGTGTTGAATCCAAGTCCAAACTTTCCAATTTTTTCCACTTTGTTTTCCTTTGAGGCTGAGCCAACTCTGACAATATTTTTCCAATCCTCTGCTGTGAACTGCTCATTATTAAAAGCCCAAAGACAAGGTCCCTGACAAAGAGCCATGTCAGGGTCAATCAGGCTTTCGGGGGCATCTCTGTGTACTCTGAAATCCACCAAGAACTTGCAAACATCTGCCCCAGCATCCTCTGCATTCTGGATGAGCTCTTTGAAGATGTCACTGTCTTCATCGTACTCTTTAAGAATGTTTTTTATTCTCATTGTTATTGGTTCAGATTGTCCACACTGCTCTATTCCTATCTCCTCTGGATCAAGGATGTGGGTACTGAGAAAACGAATTTCCAGCCATTCAGCCGCTGCTTTTGGGATTTCCTCATGTATGACATAAATTTCCTCTTCTCTGCAGTTTAGTTCTTTCAGTCCATTTTTGCTTACATCACAGAAAAGAGCTGTTGATCGTGGTTTAAGGGTAAATTTTCCTCCCTCAGCAATGACTGGCACTGGGATGTCATCCTGAACTGTTTTCTTCTCTTTCCAGAGCCAGTTGAGAATTTCTATTGACACTTTGACCTCTGAGGAACTTGCAAATGGCGGTTGTCTTGCTTCAATTGTTTGCTGGATGGAGTACAGAATGCCCAAAATGTCTTCATTGGAAAGTACTTTTCTCAGGCCAAACCTCTGGAACAATGTTCTGTATGGCAAAAATTCACTTGGCACCTTCCCAATGTAAGAACTCAGATCTAGATTATTTGGGTATTCAAGAACCAGATCCTGGGGTGCAACAAACTGGTTCTGGGCCCATAGCCAACATGTCTCATTGCCCATCATTGTAACAAATACAGAGACATTGTCTTGCATGTGTTTGTAAATGCTGTGCAGCTGTCTTTTGAAGTCTACATCTGTGTCAGGATTAACCATTTCCAGTGCTTTTGATTTCAAGACTGACAGATTTTCAGTCACTTTTTCAGGTGGTGGTAGGTCTTTGAGACCAAGTCTGTTGCTAACTCTGTCACTGAGCTTCCCTGTTAGTGGCATTACATGTCCAACAATGTCCTTATACACAGAATGTCTTATTTCATTTGGGCAAAACAAACAATACTTCTGAGATTTATCACTGAATTGTTTCTCACTTCCAGGTTGTTCACATGGGATCCATTTTAGCATTTTGAGGCAATGAAGTTGTTTGTGAGAAAACTTTGTCAGTAGATCATTACTTTCCACCATTTCCAACAGAACCTGACCTCTTCTCAGAGCCTCAGTTTGTGAGTTCACACACAGTTTGTCAGTCAGCGTGGCAGCATGTACCAAATGTTCAGGTGAGACATCTATCTCTTTATTCAGTAATCCGATTTCTGTTAAGCTTTCCAGCATCTGCAGTGAATGAGTGTATGAAGGCGGTGGAAAGAAGTCTGACTCAAAGATGACTTTAAAAGTCTGAATTCTTGGATCAAAAAAGTCAGATGCCTTTTTCAGCTGTCCATTCACCTCAATGAAGCTCAAGTCCTTACAGCTGCATTTCAGGGATTCGTTTTGTGAGAAAAGCACCTTACCATGCTGTAAAATCCAAGTCATTGTTTTGTTAGTGTTGTCACTGCTGCAAGCGCCTTTGCTTATGCTGTCAACAAGAACACTGGCTGCTTCGGCGGTGTCCAAGAGATGAACTTTGAGCAGCTGTAACAGTCTGCGGTCAGTCTCAGTAGAACACTGGATTATGGAATCAGGCATAGGGAGCTCTGTTGGTACTGTTAGGCCTGATATCAGAAGCACAGCTTGTTTCGATTGAGCTGCAACACTGAATCCTTTCATGGTTTGAAACAAAGGCAACTTCAAGAGAAAATCTTTCTCTGCATTTGAGAGAGAATCCAGATAAGAGAGATAATCTTTCAGTTCTTCTCGTGCTGTGTAAGAGGCAGATTTGAGTTCTGTGACAAGATGCTGGAAATCTAAATTCATCAGGACCTTCAAAACACTCCTTGGAGATGGGCACAGCACATATGAGTCAAGGTCTACATGCTTGAGCCACTCATTTCCTCTCACCACTGTGCCACCAACTTTGTTCACCAGCTGAGCTATTTGGTCTGGCAAATTCAGCTGTTTACTTTTCTGAAAGATCAGGGTTGTGTTCTGCTGTAGTTTTGCTACTGATACAGTCTGACTGCCAGACAGAGGACTAACTGGTATTAGAGGTATGTCAGTGAAAGGACTTAACTCATTAAAATGACTGTTGAGAAACCTCCAGAATTCTTGAAACCAGTCTAAAGGTGGATGCTGACTGTTGTTGTTGTTGTCCCATGCAACAAGGTTCTTCCCTGTCTGCTTCCAGTCTGGTGGCAAATATCGTCTTGCATATTCAGCCAAATGGGATGCATCAATGTTGGTGACCTTGAAGAAATCTGAAGAGCAGATTAAAAAGATTTTTTTTTTAAAGTTAAGAATAAATGTGTGTGCTAAAATGTGTAGCTGTGTACAAATGACTCTGTATTGTTTAAAATTACTTTCACTTACTTCTTCTGGCCAGTTCTTTCAGATGTGCACTGCAGGCTGGAGTCAGATCATGTGGGATGAAGAAGGGTTTACAGAATGGCAGCAAGACTCTATAAAAAAGTGCAATGGATTCTGTCAAACTGTTAGGAGTTCATTCAGTATAGAAATATTCCTGAACCTTCCAAATATTCAGTTACAATCAATATGTGAATAACACATAAAAATGGCAACTTTAGTCATGATAAATATAACATTATTTTAAATATTGATAGATGTATGGAAACCCTACCTTGGAAATTCATGGCTGTCAATCAAAGCAGTGTCTTCCTCTTCGTATGTGAAATATCTGAAAGAGCCATCACTGAGTGGAAGGAGCTGAAGACCCTCAAGTTCTTTATATTGTTCATCACCTAAAATGTACTCCAAAAGACTGAGTTTGTCATCTTTAGTGATGTTATCCACACCGGTCCTGTGGAGAATGGCCCTGAGGAATGCTGGAGTCACATGTTTTAGGGTAGTAGGGTTTGGGTAGGCCTCATTTATAGCCTTTGCAACACTAGCTGGTAAAGTGACAAGATTTTCTCCACATGACACTAAAGCCCTTTTAATGGCAGACAATATGTTGGTGCTTGTTGGGCCATTGCAGGGGAAAACAGCTTCTGATGGAGAGATAAACTGTCTTTCATCTTTAGCAAGAGAGAGGATGGCCACGTTCTGTCTGAATAAGTGATGAAAAACATCCAGAGTGAGAGCATGCCATTTTTCTTTGTGTTGTATCTGAGTGAGATCTGGCCACAGATTGTACACAGAGGAAACGGGGAGGATAGATTTTTGGGCAAGTTTAATGGCATCTTGAATGATCTTGATGTATGCTTGTGGAAACACCTTCTTCATCAGCATTTCATTCCACAAAGCATGTTCATCATGTCTCTGGTCTTCCTCTTGCCATTTGATGTGTCTTCTATTGTCTGTGAGGCCAAAGCATGCATTGACATAAACTGGGAGTCCTGTCTTATTGGATTCATTGTTTGGAAGGGGGAGAAAGCAGCTCAGTCTGCTCTGGCTACAGTCTCTCTTCTCACCACAGGGGAATGCCAGGTCAACTTGAGGTAAAAAGCTCAACTTCTTTGTAAGCAAATCAAGATCTTCTGCAACGCCCTCTTTCATGGTACATGTTGTCAGAAGCCACTTTGTCTCTTTTTGGTCTTTTGAACTCACAGTTATAACTTTGAACCTTGTTAGACCCTCAATGACTGACTCCTCTTCTGGCTCTAAAACACCATCTGTGGGGACTGAGGATTTCACTTCAAGTCTGGTGTTAACAGCTCCATCTTCACTAATATGTAACAAGGACACAGAGGTGACATTTTTCAAGAAGAGGAGGCTCAAATCTGCATCTGCAATGAAGCTATCAAAAAGCTCAACCACTTTATCTGAGTCATACAGATTATCAGAAATCTCTGATGCTTCATTACGTAAAGGAAATCTAAAAATTGTCCCATTGAAGTGCTGATCCTCCATGACAACTTTTGACCATCCATGTTCACATACAAGTGAGACTATATCTCTAAATGGTTGGAACTGATCATGCATATTCAGTAGAACTTCTTGGTCTTCAACATCATCCAAAGACCACCGAAACCCTCCATTTCTCTCTCCAAATATTTTTTCTTGGGGATCCATCATGCCAAGATGGCCTGAACTGAATATACTTGGAACATCTATGAACAAAGTAAAAATATGTTACTGCTAACTGTTTATCTTTTCAAAAATTACTACTCATATCTGTGATCTAACTACACATAGTTTCACCTGTTATGTGGTAAACAGAGTTGAAGCCGATTCCAAACCTCCCGACTTTGTTCGGGTCGTCACGCTTGACACTCCTTCCAGCCATCTGAATTCCTTGCCAGTCTTCATCAGTGAATGTGGCATTGTTGTAGGCATAGAGAGCAGGACCTTCGTAAAAACATAACAAACTCAAGGCTTATGCTTTAGGTATCTATGTGTTAGTGACACATTCTCTGGAATCTCTATACCAACGTGCACTGAATGAGATTTTTCCAGAAAGGAAATCAGAAGACAGGAGACACTTTTCAGTTGCTATGCAAATGGATTTTATGTAGAACACTTTGAGTGTAACGGTAACTAGAGACAATATTAACAGTGACTATCCTAAATCTTCTCTCTTGATCTGCATATTATAATTAAGCTGAAAGCTCCATTGTTGAAAAATGAAGCCAGTTTTAAAAACTGCAGTGCTGTGATCAGCTGAGGTTTGCTCCAAAAGTAAAATGCTCAACAACCTTGTGCAAGTTTAAACTGTGTTAAGGGTGAGGGCTGCATGAACATACATATAAAACTATTTGGCTGTTTAATTAAGTGAGTACATTTGGTTTTCACTAGTCAACATTCATTATCATAGTGAATTACAGTGCCAGTAGCTTGTTAACAAGTAGTTTTTACTTTGCAAGGCTCTGCCTTTCAGACAAACATGGAATTAAGTGAGTGTGGGAATTTGTTAGGAAGCAGGAGCTATATTATTTAATGATGCTGTAAATGCACATAGGTTATTCATGTTTTCTTATATGACCAATGCCTTTAAGTGAAGCACATTAACAGTGATAACGTTGGTCTCTGAAAGCACAAATATCCAAGAAAGCACAGAAAATATAGACTAAGAAAATGTAATCTGTCCTGTTATGCACCACCTGAGACATGAAAGAATATAAGCAACCTAAGACCCACTATTACTACTATTAAAAAATTATACAATAGAAAATAAATAAATAAAATGAGAAAATTTTTGTACTTGTTTTTCCAATCAGTTGTTGTTGGAAATCTAGTTTTTCCAGGGCCTTGGACAGCTTGAATAAACAATGATGGTGACAGCCAAAATTCCAAAGCTGAGGATTCAGAACTGCAGTCCCACCATGTGACATCACATATTTTATGTAGTCTACAATCAGAATCCAGTTTTATAGGGCTTTCTAAAAACAGCCACCTAGGAAATGTTTGATAATGTGGAAAAATATGGGGAAAAACATCCACACACTATACTTTGGGAGAAATTACACACTGAAACAAGCAGAACCTGCTACTTTTAGCTGCTCCTTTAGTCACAAGGGATTGCCACAGTGAGTAGCTCCACTTTTCGACGTGACCCCCAAAGAAAGCAGAATGTTAAATAAAAACAAACCAAAAAGTTCCCAGCAAACCCGGACAGACATTCTTAACTGGAGATGTATTGGCTCTATTTATTACTTTTAAATGTAAATAAATAATAGTTTTTGTGAAATATATTTCTTTTATTCAGTGAATACCTTGGTATGTCTCCAGTT